GGGGGGGGGGGGGGGCAGTAGGCGATGAGTCGGCGCACGGCGTGCGTTCCGCAGGTCGGGTGGCGCGTCGAGTTCCGGTCGATGGAGGTGCAGCTGGCCGACCTCGAGGGGACGCCAGAGCCTAGAAGAAGAGGTGCCGACGCGCGTGTCTTTCTTTTGCAGGTGCAGCTGACCGACTTCGAGAATGCCGCCTTCACCACCTTCGTCGTCCTCGTCTCGCGCGTCATCCTCGCCTTCGACCTCAACCTCTACCTCCCCCTCACCAAGGTACCCGCACCCATCCCCTACCCCCACGGTACCAAACCCATCCCCTACCCCACAGTACCCAAACCCATCCCCTACCTCCACAGTACCCAAACCCATCCCCTACCTCCACAGTACCCAAACCCATCCCCTACCTCCACAGTACCCAGACCCATCCCCTACCCCCCCCCCCTCACCAAGGTGCGCTGACTCAATGAATGCGGGTATGATCATAACCTTCTCGGAACCTCCCCCTTAGGTGGACGAGAACATGCGCCGCGCACACCTCCGCGACGCCGTCCTGCAGCAGCGGTTCTGGTTCCGAAAGCACATGGCGCGCGCCAGAGGAGAGAGGCTGTCGCCGACCCTTCCCGGACCCTCTTCCCACACCCTTCCCCGAACCTTCCCGCAGGCGCCGCCGGAGGAGCACGTCGACGACCCGGACGCATGCGAGGTGAGAGCATCATCCCCTACCTCCACAGTACCCACAACCACATCCCCTACCTCCAAAGCACCCAAACCCACAGTTTGCCCGCGCGCCCCCCGTGCTTCTGCACACACGAGCGCACCCCTGGCCCTCGGCGGCACCCTCCTCGCGACAGCCGAGCGCGGGCAGACAGAGAACGACAGTGAGGCATCTCCGGACTCCACAGTACCCAAACCCATCCCCTACCTCCACAGTACCCAAACCCATCCCCTACCTCCACAGCACCCAAACCCATCCCCTACCTCCACAGTACCCAAACCCATCCCCTACCTCCACAGTACCCAAACCCATCCCCACAGCCAGGCAGGCAGCGCCGGGCGCCTCGCCACACGCCGCCTCTTCTCTCGGCGCGCAGGAGATGAGCGTGCTCGAGATACTGACGGGCAAGGGCGACCACTTCCCCGGGCTGATCCCCCTCATCTTTGCCTACCTCGAGGCGAGCCACAGCTCTGCCCGTTTCTTGGCCATCTCTTGGCCATCTCTCGGCCCTCTCTCGGCCCTCTCTCTACATCTCTCGGCCACCTCTCGGCCATCTCTCGGCCATCCCTCGGCCATCTCGCGGCCGAGAGACGCGGACCTTCGGCCATCTCTCCTCCTTGCCCACACCCACAGGCAATCCAGTGCGACCCAGAGACTCTCGAGCTCATGCGCAGCTACATGGACCTCCTCCGGCGCCGCGGCCCCTCGCTCTCGTTGGCTGCCGGGTTCTGGCTCCCCGAGGGTACCCTCAGCTGACCCGAGGGTACCCGAGATTAGGCGCCGTGCGTCCGGTCAGCTCGCGACGGCGGCGCGTTGGATGCGCGCGCGGGTGGCGGCGCATCCCTCCTACCGCGGCCTTCTCGGAACCTTCTCGGAACCTTCTCGGAAGCTTCCCCTCAGGTGGCGGCGCATCCCTCCTACCGCGGCGACTCGCGCGTCCTGGACGACGTCGCCTACGACCTCGTCAAGGTTCGCAGCACACACATCCCCCGGGCCCGAGGCCGCGCACACAGACCGTCGAGATCGGGACAGGCAGACAGACCGACGAGAGTCAGAAGGCAGCACTGGGTCCCAGGAGGCGAGGCTCACACAAGCACACGCACATACGGGCGAACACGTGACACACACACCGCTCACCCACGTGTGGGGGGCGGCCTTTGCACTCTGAATGGCGCCACCAGCTCCTGTCT